CCTTTTAAGAAATAACATATGTACAGAAGAGTATACATATTTTAGCTTCCCAACATCATTTCATAAAGTACATATAGCTAGTGCCCGTTAGAAAACCCCAGAACATTGCCATCACCCAAAAGCCATGCTTAGTGATTGCTTCAAGCCTTTTCTTCATTCAGCCTTTGGCCCTCAGAGAACACTGCGACCCGAATTTATAACAGCATAGGCTACTTATTATGGTTGTAAATATTATGTTAGTGGAATCATTTAGCATGAACTACTTGTGTCTGTGTGTGTACATGCCAGATTCTAAAATCTAGCCTTAAGGGGTGTATTTTAGGGAAACAAACTTTTAACACGTCAAATATAGCTATACTCATACTTGCTGCTAGCTCACTTCCACTTGTATCGTCACCATTTTTAACACTTGCTAGGATGGCCTTGGTGATCTGGGATGCTGGCACCATGCCACCTTATTTGCCTCAGCTACGAAAGCCCCTGCCTCTCTCTGGGAGGCATGTACATTCGAGTGCCTTGCCACTGCTTACAGCTTTCCTCAGTAAGCAGTTCCTTAATAAAACGATAACACCACCACGGAGTTGCCAACATCCTTCTTCGAACTTTTGGTACCTGAAGACAAATTCAAGGTACCGGTCCTTGCTCAAATGAGATAAAATGATAGCTAGTGTTCTAGACTCTTTTGAATGTTTTCAGTCTGTCTTATTTATCCCTAGAGGCAGTCTCCCTCAAGCATTCCCTGAGAGAAAAATTCGTTCATTTGAAATAATTTGAAACTAGTAAATATTCCCAAAGTTTCAGTCTAATTATCTCACAATTCTCTGAGAAGACTTGCAAAGTGGCCTTATAATTTTTTAGGTATAAAAATGATGACAATAAGAGAAATCTCTGTTATTAGAGAAATAGATATATGCAATTAGACAATAATTACATTACTGAAACATTTACTGGTTAGATCTTTGCTTTGAAGTAACTAGAGGGACTCTTTCATACCTGTTTGTTCTTGAATTAAATTTGTTTTCAAATAAGGATGTTTCGCCTCTCATGACGGAAACAAAAAAATATAAACATATACTGCTAAAGGTATGTAAAATGATAGTGGTATTTTAATTTTGAATATTTTTAAATTATTGTATCTACCATTTAAGTTGCAACAATAAATAGGGGTTATTTAAAGATAAGATTTTATGATACTACTTTAAATCAAACTTTAATCATTCCTCAATTTATATTGTGTAAGTTACAAATGAAAGAGTATAAAGTTTGATTTATGCATGGACACAGGCATTCCTAATAATATGATGTTTAAACCCAGACTGTAAAATATGCATGTGGAGGGAATGGTGATTATTCTACTCTTCTCTAGTTAGACAGTACATGAACAACTCCAGAAGACAGCCAGTCATACCTAAATTGGAAGATAATTTTTCCTGGAGAATTAACTTCACAATGTCAATATACTTTAAAATGTAGACAATGTAATTCCATTGGAAGTGCTCATTCTGGTCATCACTTGTGAGAAGTGATGGTGCATTGCTACTTTTGAAATTTTAGATTGCCAAATTTTCACTGCTCGCAGAGTAAATGTCTACTTCTTGGTTTGAGATTAATCAAATACTACATTGGACCTAAAAACAAGTTTGAAGTATTTTGAAAATAATAAGGAGATGGAATCAAACAGTAGAAAAGTACACTAGCAAATTTAATGAGATCAAAGCAGAAAATATTTTGCTTCATCTCTGGTTCTTTCTGGAGCCCTGGTGGTGCTGTCAGATGAGCTTTGGACTGCTAAATGCAAGGAGGGTACCTCAAACCCACCAGCTGCTTGGCGGGAAAAAGATGAGAGAGTAGACTTTCACAGCCTCAGAAATGATGGATGTGGTTGCTGGGGGTCAGAAAAGACTTGATGGCGGTTTTTCTATTTCTGGTTCTCTGAAATCCATCAAGAGGTTGGAAATAGATCATTGAAGAATTAGTGTAAGAGAAAAATAGATATATTTTTAAATATGGAAATTAGGAAACAGTTATTTAAAAAATGAAATGTGTCCATCAAAAATTAAGTTTACCAAAGTCAATGATACCACCTTCTGGGTGGCCCTGGAAAGATCCGGGGCTGTGAATGCAAATACCTACACTGTATCCTGGATTATAGGATTAAGTTTTTAATTTCCAGGAGGCAGTCTTTTTTATTTTTTCCTGTAAATGTGAGAACAGGCTAAATAATTTTGAGAAACTATGTGTTAAATAATGCATGAACTCTAATTCGTATCTAAGTGAATGGATGAAGTTACATATAGATTAGGAAACAGACACCAGGCTTTCAACAATTTTAAAAGAAAAGAATACTTTAATACAAGCAACAACAGTGGTTGCTAAAATTGATTTATTTAAAATATATTATTTACTACATGTTATAATTTATTTTAACATTCTTTTGAGTACTTATAGCCTGAGTTTTTTGTAAATAAATTATGTTGTAAATTGGAATCAAACATTTATTCAAATTATGAGAAAAATTATATGAGATATTTAAAAATCCATTGAAGTGAAACTTTGAAATATTTTAGTTGAAAACATGATGTTAAAATTAAAAGTTTTCACAAAAAAAAAATTAAAAGTTTTCTAAGCCATATTTTTTTCTTTCTAACATGAATGATACAAGTTTGAAAAAAAAACTATGTATTTCATAGTTTTTCTTTAAGGATGTAATAATAATTGATGAATATTAATTAAATATGTGCATGCATAACAAGTTAATCTCTGATATTTTATCTTCAATAATTATTGCCCTTAGGTTTAATTATATACTTTTACATACTCCTAAAAAAGAGTCCCATAAGTAAATATTTACAAAAATAGTAAGAATTTGTGCACACTGTTTTGGCAATTCTGCATATAAAATAGTCTAATAAGAAAATATATTCAACTATATTCTCAATTCAAAGTGTGTTATTCTCCAAATAAATAAAACTTTATTCTGAAAATTACTTACTTTTAAATATTTATATTGTTTTATATTTGAAACTACTTTGAACAATCCCATGACATGTTCTTTATTATATCTTTCTCCTCTCCTTCTTTCTTGCTCCCTCGCTAGTATCTTTCTTTTTCCTCTACCTCCATCTTAGCCTCCCTCCTCTCCTCTCCCCATTTTACCTATCCTTTAGTTGTTTGTTTTTCTGTTATCTACTTATTATAATACAGCAAGGAACATCTGACAATATAATGCCTAATTAAATACCCAATAACTATGTATATTTATGTTATGAGAATAAAATCATGTACATTCTAATCATCTGCCAATTCTAGAGTTGTTTAATATTCTAAACTTTCTGTTTATTGTTAACTTGTATACACATGCACATAAAGCCATCAAATCTCATCTGTTTCCATTTTATATTGTATATATAGTAATGTTATGCATATGGTATCAACTTTTTTGAGCAAATAATCAAAGAAGCTGGACTACATAAAGCAGAAAGCAGCTTCAAGATGGAAAGAAGGCTTAATAAGAACCTGCAGTAGGCAGATGACACAACCTTACAATTTGAGAGTGAGTAGGATTTGAAACGCTTCCTGACAAGAATCAAGGACTGCAGCATTCAATATTGATTACAACACAATATAAAGAAAACATAAGTCTTTACATCTGGACCCATCAGTAACATCATGATAAATGGTGGAAAGATTGAAGTTGCCAAGGATTTCCTTTGTGTACACTCAGAACAAGTGCTCAGGGAAGCAGCAATCCAAAGGCCAAATGATACATTGCATTGTGTATATCTGTTGCACAAGATCCCTTTAAAGTGTTGATAAGCAAGCTATCACTTTTAGGACTAAGGTGCACCTGAGCAAAGCCATGACATTGAATCCCCTGATATCCATGTTAAAGTTGAACATTGAATAAGGAAGACCACAGAAAAACCGATGTACTTGAACTACAGTGCTGGTGAAAAATATTGAAATTATCATGGGCTGCCAAAAGCACAAGTCTGTGTTGGAAGAACTACAGTCGAAATGCACTTTAGGAGCAAGAATAGTGCGATTTCGCTTCATGTAATTTGGACATGCTAGAAGGAAAGACCAGCCCCTGGAGAAGGCCTCATTGCTTGGTAATGTAAAGGGACCGTGCAAATGAGGAAGACCTTCTACCAGATGAATTGACACAGTGTTAGCCAGGATGCACTTGAACCTAACTGTGATGATGGCAAAGGATAGGGCAGTGTTTTGTTCTGTTTACACAGGGTCGCTAGCAGCAGGGACTGGAAGACCCCTGACAATAAGAAGACAGATTTATGTAGAGATAGAGAGCACTTTCTTTATTTTCAAATGATTTGTGATCTCAGTTAATAGAACAAATTATCTAAATTATGTGTAGATTATTTTTGGTAAACATGTCTATATCTGTTTCATAATGGATTTAATTCTTCCTCAGATGTAGCAAGTACTTATGTCTTGTACTGTTATACTCCCACTTCTCCATTTCTGCCTTCATCACCAGTTCCTTGTGAAGTTGGAGGATGTTACCAAGGAGGGCTCCAAAAGGTCACTTTCATACAAAAGCTTAAATTTCAGAATTTAATAGTAGGTTTCCAAATTGGCAGTACTATGTTTTAATATAATTAGTAATTTAAAAATAAACAAATTATCCTTGAATTCTGAACTCAACATTTTATGAATTTATTTATCACCTGGGTAGATTCTGAATTAGGTACAATTCACCAAAAATTTGTAACAGGGAAAAAATGCACAGTGACAGGTTTGTTTGCCAATTGACAGAATTCAGTTGACTTTTATAGGACATTTAAGCGCTGACATGACAGTGTTTGCTTCATTGTTTGGGAGCATGTCTCCAGCTTCCATAATGCGTTATATTGAAGATTGTTGTGTTTCTGAATATGGATCCTTTTAAGTATCTTCTTCTGGAAATAAAGGTAATTACATAATACCTGGTTTGTTCCTTTCTTTTCCTAGAATTTGATTGAACTCATTAAAGATAAATGAAGAACCAGACACTACAGATAGAGTTTATTCTACTGGGACTGACAGAGGATTCTCAGTTACAGATGATCATTTTCTTATTTCTACTTTTCATTTACATGTTGAGCATGATGGGAAACTTAACCATCATTGCCCTTACCCTGTTGGATACCCATCTCAAGACTCCAATGTATTTCTTCCTCAGTAATTTCTCTTTCCTGGAAATCTCATTCACAACTGCCTGCATCCCCAGATATCTAATCCAAATTATAACCAGAGAGAAGACCATTTCCTATAATGGTTGTGCATCTCAGCTCTTTTTTTATATCTTTCTGGGAGTAACAGAATTTTTCCTTTTAGCAGTTATGTCCTATGACCGCTATGTTGCCATCTGCAAGCCCTTGCATTATACATCCATCATGAACAGCAGAATTTGTCACCAGCTTGTACTAGGGTCTTGGGCAGCTGCGTTCCTGGTCACTTTCCCTCCACTGGTTTTGGGTCTGAACCTGGATTTCTGTGCTTCAAATATCATTGACCATTTCATTTGTGATATTTCTCCTGTCCTACAACTTTCTTGTTCAGACACACACTTACTAGAATTGATTGCTTTTTTATTAGCTCTGTTGACGCTCATTGTCACATTGTTACTAGTTATTACTTCTTACTCCTACATCATCAGGACAATTCTACAATTCCCTTCAGCTCAGCAAAAGAAAAAAGCCTTTTCCACCTGCTCGTCTCACATGATTGTTGTCTCCATCACTTATGGCAGTTGTATATTCATCTACATAAAGCCGTCAGCCAAAGAAAGAGTTGACATAAGCAAAGGAGTAGCCGTGCTCAACACTTCAGTCGCCCCGTTGTTGAACCCATTCATTTACACTCTGAGGAACCAGCAAGTGAAACAAGCCTTCAAGGCTGTATTCAAAAGGGTATTTTCTGCTTCAGACAAATAAAACAAATACATTTTTTATTGCAGAATTTACTTTATGGTTGTGAGAGATTGAAATTCATAGCATAAATGCAGATAAAAAATATTGAACAAGAATAGCTTGATTCTTCTTATTTAATTATTTGGATTATTCTAGATTGCCTGATATCAGAAACAATTTTTATTCTATCCATGAGGTTTTTAAGTCTGTTTTGTTTTGAGAGGGATAACCCCTTCATATGGTCAAAATATGAGGGTACTGAAGCTTCCTGGAAATCATTAACAAAAACCCAGGCTCCAGGATTTAATAGAATACCAAGTGAAATGTTTCAATAAACTGCTGAAACACTAGAAGCGCATACTTTCTTATGCCAAGAAAAAAAGTTTAATTTATTGTTAATTTTGTTAATATTTATATCATTCCATAGTTTAATCATGTCAAGCAGTATTATACAATTGCTACCACAATCAGTGTCCAAACATTCCTTTCCTTCCTGGACTCCTTGACATCCTCTCTCTTTTATGCGCCCTTTTCTCCCAAACGCCACCACTACCACCACCACCTCCCCTTCCCCCACCAAGAACCCCTTATTCAACTTGTCCTTACAGGTTCATCAAACTGGGCTTTTATACAGAAAACAGAAAATCACATAACACAACTTCAAGAGGGTGACCCTCAAATGACCTTACACCTCTAATGTAAACCCTAATATGAAAAAACACAAAAACAAAACAAATACAGAAAATGTTGTAAACCAGATCAGGTCTAATGTGCATCAGAGTGGGGATCAAATGATAATGTTTTAACCATTCAAGTCAGGCTTATCTCTTTGACCTTCTGTACTCCTCTCTCCATGCACTCTTTTGAGTAACCTCTTTTCTCCCATCCCTCTATTGTGGATAGAGGGAGATCACTGGGGGCTTATCCCCTATATAGTTCCCACAAATGTATCTTGGTATCCCACTGTCATCCATAGCCTTCTGGAAATTGGATTCTTACAATTTAGACTCTGATATTAATCCCTCCTTTGACTTCTGATTATATGATTTACAAATCTCTCAGTGACTGATCTATGATGTGTGCTTCTTCCAAGTGGACTTAGCTGACATCTCACTTACATGGCTGCTTGTTTGGAGACAAGCCTTTAAGAGCCCAGAAGCTATTTTTTTCTGATAGCAAGGCACCATCTAATGTCTTCTTCACGCTTTGTTATGGCACCCATATCTTCTGTGTTCCCTTCCTGAGGGAAGCATTGAACGGGGCCATGATGGAAGAAATAATTGTCCTAAAGTTGGAGCTAGGATTCAGTGTGAGCCCGAAAGTCATTCCTGGATCTATGCTTTTGTTTGTCTGTTTCGCCTCTGGTTCCCTTTCAGAAAGCATCCTTGTTAATTTGTGGTTTTCATGATCTTCCCCCAGCTCATAGCAATCTTCTGTTTATATTGTCTTTGATTAGCACCTGGTACTAATTGTTTTTTACAGTTTTATTGGCATTGGCACATAATCCACATCCCATACAATTCAATCATTCAATCATATCAAGAAAAATTGTACAATCATTACCAACGATCAATTTTGGCACTCTTGCTTTCTTTCAGCACATTTACATCACTTTTTAAATGAATTGGGTTTACACATTCAGTTCTTGTGCTCCCTCCCCCCCACAGCTTCATTGTTTACTCCTCCCTATACAAACCCTTGCATCAGTTACTATCCCTACGTGTCCACTCTCTGTAAGCTTCACAAACGGGTAAACCCAATAGAAACAATAAAGTACAACAATGAAATAAAATGGTAAGGATAAAGCATCAGTAATATAAAGATAAAAAATACAAAGAATGAGTAAGAAAGAAAAGAACATCCTCAATATTTTAAAGGTCAGGGAAGAAATTTTGATCATGGAACAAGCAAGAGATCTTTGCCCCTTGAACAAATTCAGGTAGAGGGATGCCAACTGATGAAGTACGAAGCTTGATCCAGCATAATCAGGATTACCGTGATCTATTTTAGATAGTAAGGCTGTTCTAGACCTTTGCCTGTGGCTACAGGGGATCCGCCAGAGGCTTAATCAGACTAGATAGTCTTCAGATGAGTTGTGGGCTCCTACATCCTTCTACAAATTGGGCATTCATAATTTTAGCTCTTATACATTTCCTTTCATCATATTTAATATTCTAACTGAAATGGATGTGAACTTGTGCTTGCAGGAAGTAGAGTGCAGGCACTGTACCCTCTTACTTCCATTAAGTAACACTACAATCCCTGGTTATGAAAATAAATAAATAAATAGATAGATAGATAGATAGATAGATAGATAGATAAATGGATGAATAAATAGATTAAATAAATAAATAAATAAAATAACCAGAGGACTACAAAGGCAGACTGGCAAGAGAACTCAGATTTCAATGTCATTATTGTGAGTTTTCCAGCTTTTTTTATGCTTTCTATACCCCAGACTTTGAACTGAAGAAGTAGACAACCTGTGAAAACCAATGGATAGCCACTAAAAACAGCAAAATATTGCTTTCAGTAGGCAAGCACCAAGAAAAAGCTTAGCCTGAGAAGATAGAACAACAGTGGAAAATGCTTTCTCTACTCTAGCAAAATGTACAGATGAATCTGTGGCCATTCTTAATAGCCATCTCTTAATGTGGAGAATTGTAAGTTACATATTTAGGCTTGGGGAACATGGATTAAACATAGATTTAGATGTCTGTGTAGGAAAATATGAAATTCGGCGTTGAAATTTTCAAAGGAAGTTCTATAAAACAAGAAGACCAGAATATCATGAATAGTTTAGTTACAGAGAAAAGTGCTCAACAAGTAAGTTGGGCAAATAAAGTTCTACATGAGAGCAAACAGAGAAAATTAATGTATATCCACTGATAAAAAAATACACTAAAAATGGGTGATTATATAACAAAATACTAAAACACTTTTATTAAGCTCCTGAAACAAACACTTTAAAATCTGAACCTACCCTCACAACCCAAAAGCAACAACAAAAATAACAAAAATCAGTCAAATAAAGCAAAACCAAGACATTAAAAAAGGTAAATTTAAGAAAACTTCATTTAATATAGTTAATTCATATCAGAAATAAAATACTCAGTCAGAATTAAACAGTATTCATTTAATATAAGCAAGTAAAGAAAGATATGAAGTCTGGAGTGTATAAATTTCTCAAAATGTGTAGGAGGCTCAATAATCCACAGTACACTTTTTACTTCTAGTTGACAGGAGAAAACAGAACACCCACAGCAACAAACACAACGAAGAACAATGATGGCCATTTTCTGTGCCCCCATTGATCAAAAGATGCTCATCCCTAGTTTGCTGATTCCAAAAATGTGCCTTTTCCAGAGGAAACACAAGAATTATACTCACTAGAAATATTTTTCAGTAACTTCATATTGGAGTTGTGGGAAGCATTAGTAGTTTATGTGAATATATGCATCTTTCATGTAAAGGTCCTGAAATTATTGTGAATAATTTCATCTCATGTTCAGTAAACCCTCCTTATGTGCTATGAGGCTGAAGAGGTGTTAGTGGTACTTCAACACGAAGATGTGCTAGGAAGACCTGACAATCACTTTGAAAAAATATTCAGGGAAAACCCTATGGGTCACAGTGGTCTGATCTACCACTGATCTTGAGGATGATGCAGAATCTGACAGAACGTTTTTTCCCATTGTGCCTAAAGTTGTCATGAGCTGGAGGGTGATTAAAGAGCAATTGATAAGTTTACATGGTGATTTTTATAATGACTGCCTTTTCAGTATGATTTGTAGGAATCCAAATATTATATTAGAACAAGGCAAGGATCAATCCTGATTACTACAGTCTTCAAGTCAACTCGACCTTCTAAAGACACGGATCATGTTTCTCTGGGCACCTGGATACTTGTAAAATATCTCCACATCCGCAGCTGTGCATACTTCTCATACAACCCAATTGACCAAATTGATTTGGTTGAAATAAACCTGAGTGGTTTCGTCTTTAACTATGGATTATTACTTTCTACATTCAAGCAAAGGTACCTGCCAGCTTCATTCCAAGGCTATATAAATAAAATCATTTCAGAATTATTATAACAGTAATAATATAAAATATATTTTAATTTGCCGTAAGTATATCCTGTATTATACAATGCTATAGACATTGAAAAAGTAAACCCCAGTACATCTTTGGTGTTCCATGTGTTGTATTCATAGCCTTTCTACCCCTCCATTCACACATTTATCATGGCTTCCTTTTTCTATTCTCATCATCTGGTGTTTTGGAGAGCAGCTGCTCATGTAATACCAAGCAAACCAAAGCCTCATTTGTCTCCCATGGAGCCACTGGCGGGTTCAAACTGCTCACCTTGAGGTTCTAAGCTCAATGGGTAATGCACTATATCACCAGAGCTCCTTGGTTATTCACGCATGGTCAAAGCTGCCTCATAATCTAATGTTCTTGAATATTTTAATTGAGAAGTAAGAAACTAAATTTAAGATAAAAGTCAGCCACAGAAGGCACTACAATGCTGGTTATTTAACTTCATTAACCATCATATGAAGAAAAACTTTCAACAATCAGTTAAGTTTGTGTGTTTGCTGGGACCTAAGAAAGTTTTTGGACACTGATTGCAAGACTGTTTTCAGTCCATCCAAATGTGCTATAGATTTTGCTTTTCCAAACACTATCTGCCCACCTTCTTCCACTGGCCAAGAGCACGTGCTGCACATCAGTCTCTTCATTCCCTATCCCTCTACTCTCCTGCTCCAAACCTGCCAATACATTTTTTTTTTACCTTCCAATAAATTTTGTAAATCACACTGGAATCTAAGCATTGATGAAACACACTATATATCTCTGGCTCCTTGAGGCTTCCTTACCCCCCACTACCCTGACCATAGTGCTGCTTCTCAATGCAGACTAGACTGGAACATGGACACAGGTACAGATAAGAGATGGGAGCTCACACACACAGAATCCAGGAACAGGAGTAGGAATAGCGATACCAGAAGGGTAGGGGAAAGAGGGGGAGAAGAAGGAAGAAAGGAGAAACTGATCTTAATGATCAATATATAACCATATACACCTCTCCAAGGGGAAGAACAACAGAAAACAAGGGAGAAAGGAGACAGTGGTTGGTGTGAGATTTGAAAATAATAATTTATAATCAAGTGGCTATGAGGGGGGAGGGTAAAAAAAATAATTTATAGTTTATCAAGGGTTTATGAGGGAAAAAGGGTATGGGAGGGAGGCAAAAAAATGAGGAGCTAATATCAAGGGCTCAAGTAGAAAGAAAATGCTTTGAAAATGATAATGGCAATATATGTACAAGTGTGCTTGACACAATGGAGGAATGTATGGATTGTGATGAGAGCTGTAAGAGCCCCCAATAAAATTGCTTTTAAAAAGTAAAATAAAGTAATATCTAATATTAGTTCACTCTTTCTGATTGAACAAATGTATTCTAGATGTTTAATTTATATATTATTATTATTATAATTGCACTCTATGAATTAAGGGCAATTATTGGACTTGTTTACTTGCAAAAAAATCTGAATCCCAGAGAAATAAACTGTTTCCCAAAGTATCAGGCTTACAAATTATAGTCAGATTATATACTGAAGCACTCTATATAAACTTAACCTGAATACTGTCAAATCATAGGCACCAGTTCAAAGATGGGTCCATCAAATTATTCCAACTGATATTTCAATTGGAGACAGTGGCAGAGGCTCCTGCCTCTGCGTCATGAACTTGGAAGCGTGAATTGGAAACTGTAAGATGCTGCACTGTTTATCCTGTTATCAAAGACTACTTATATTAAGCAAAGTAGAAACAAAAACAGGAACAAATAAAGGCAGGCTGTGGGAGGAAACAGCGTAAAGACGAGGAGAAATGGCACATACAAAAATGAGACTGAGAACGAAAGCGAAATCTGTAATGATCCTGACAGTTTTCCACACATTATCAATACAGTCAATCTTCTCCTTCTTCTTTAAGTAGAGTTTATTTTTGATGAGTATTTGGCAAACAATATTTTCTCACATAGTACAGTGGGTGAACTATCTTTAAAAGCTGATAAAATGGGGGTGGGGACCCTTTTGTCTGGTATGTTCTATGCTTTAGCTTACAGCTAAAATGTCCCCAGAGGTGATCATTTCTGAGACAAATATTTATGAAATGTTTTATAGAAACACAATTAACTACTAGTACCCTTTCATTATGTAATTACTATAATTAGAACAGCTTTACACACATAAAGTCATTATTGATGGTACGGTTTGTTATATTAAGCTTTTTATTTTTAAGAAGTCAAAGAATAAATAATTTTAACACTGAAAAAATAATCTGAGTATAAATTATGACATTAAATATCTCATTCGATCTTTAGTATAGACTAGTACTAAGTTGTAAGTTAAATTTATTGTTCACTGTAAAAAATTAATCTTATTTTCTTCATTGTTCAGTTAGTAATTTACTCTATATGCACATAAGCATATGCATACATGTGTATATATATTCATGCATATACATAAATCTCTTCACATACATATACATCATATAATAATTAAAAAACCCATTTTGTTAAAATGAATTGGGAACCAATTAATGTCATCATAGATATAACTTGAATCACAGATATTAATAGAGAAGGTGACTTGTGTCATATATTTGAATTGTTTCACAGAAATATTCATTAGCTCCTTTTAAAATGATTTTATTCTTAAATTCATATAAGTAGGACTGGTCAGAATATTAAATGTAGCATAGAAAAATTGTATTTCTGAGAAGAGATAAGTGTGAGAAGACTGAAGCAATAAGAATGAAATACACATTGATTCTCTGGCAGAAATAGTTTTATGTGCATTTCAGTTATAAATTGCATGCACATCATTGTTTTTTGATGAAAGAGTTTTTTTTTATAATATTCTTAAGTGCCTGTTTCACTTGTTGATTCCTTAGGGTATAAATAAATGGGTTCAGCATCGGAGCTACAGAGGTATTGAGCATGGCTACTCCTTTTGTAAGAGCAACGCCTTCCTTTGCTGATGTCTTCACGTACATGAAGATGCAGCTTCCGTATGAGATGGAAACGACAATCATGTGAGAGGAGCAGGTTGAGAAGGCCTTCTTTCTTTGTTGAGCTGAGGGGATTCTCAGAATTGTTCTCAGGATGTAAGTGTAGGAAAGAATTACTAATGTTAAAGTGAATAAGAGAGTAAACACAGCTAAAATAAAGCTCATGAGTTCTAGAGTGCTTGTATCTGTGCAAGAAATTTGCAGTAAAGGAGCAGAGTCACAGGTGAAGTGGTCAATCACATTAGAGTCACAGAAATCCAGTCCGAGGCCCAGGATCAATGGTGGAAAGATAACCAAGAAACCAGCCAGCCAGGAGCTAATAACAAGTTGGTAGCAGACCTTGTTATTCATGATGGTTGTGTAGTGCAGAGGTTTGCAGATGGCCACATAGCGGTCATAAGACATAGAAGCTAGGAGGAAAAACTCAGTTGAACCAAGGAGAATAAAGAAAAATAGCTGTACTGCACAAGCATCATAGGAAATAGATTTATCACCTGTCATGATGCTGACTAAAAATCTAGGATTACAAACAGACGTGAATGAAATTTCTAAGAAGGAGAAATTTCGGAGGAAGAAATACATGGGAGTTTTCAGGTGGGAGTCCAGAAGGGTGAGGGTGATGATGGTTAGGTTTCCAGTAACACTTAGTAGATATGTGATCAATAAAAAGAAGAAAATCAAAACCTGTAGTTCTGGATTGTCTGTTACACCCAGGAGAATAAAATCTTTCACTGTTGTTCTATTTTTCATTGCCAATAGTTTATTTTTACAGCTCTTCCTGGTAAAATCAAGATAGAAAAATGAGTCAGTTATATGAAAAGCATAATTATTTGCAAAAATTTTACTAATTTTCATATAAACCACATGAGGTTCTGAGATTGATTTATTTGGTCATCCGTCTACACATTCACTTCTGTTTTCTCCAATAATGTTTTATCTCTCAAGAATGTACTTGTGGCTTATGGTGGCACAGTGGGTTACTTATTGGGTTGTTCACTGCAAGGTCAGTAGCTTAGAACCATCACCCATTCCACAGGAGAAAGATGAGAATTAGAAGAGCAGGCTTTACAAAAAAATACAAGAATATTTTGTGTATAGACAACATATGCTTGTGAGATGAGCAAATAATTTAAATGTAGAATTTAATTCTATCCTAGATAGCTCATCAGTAATAAGCATTTGATATGCCTAAAGTTTGCAAATATCAACAGCAAATAAAGTAACCCATGCAATAATTTTCAGTTACTGGCTGGAAATTACTATATATTTTTATGTCAATTTATTTATATATTAAGTGTAAAATATATACAAAGGATTAAAAATAATGGGTAAACTGGACACCCCTTACCGAAGGGTCGCGGGGAGGCAAGGAGCCAGTCAGGGTGCAGGATAGCAATGATGAAACATATAACTTTCCTCTAGCTCTTAAATCCTTCTTCCTCCCACCCCAACTATCATGATCCCAATTCTACCTTACAAATCTGGCTAGACCAGAGGATGGACACTGGTACAGATAGGAACTGGAAACAGAGAATCCAGGACAGATGATCCCTTCAGGACCAGTGGTGAGTGGTGATACTGGGAGGGTGGAGGGAGGGTTGGGTGGAAAGGGGGAACCGATTACAAGGATCTACATATAACTTCTCTGGGGGATAGACAGCAGAAAAGTGGGTGAAGGGAGATGTTGGACAGTGTAAGATATGACAAAATAATAATAATTTATAAACTATCAAGGGTTCTTGAAGGAGGGGTGAGCGGGGAGAGGGGGGAAAATGAGGAGCTGATGTCAAAGGCTCAAATAGAAAGCAAAGGTTTTGAGAATGACAAGGGCAACAAATGTACAAATGTGCTTGACACAATGGATGCATGTATTGGTTGTGATAAGAGTTGTATGAGCCCCCAATAAAATGATTTTTAAAAATCAACTAGCGGGTAAATCCCGTTATATTTTAAGTGCATGTTCCGTGAACTTTCTGAAGTGATGCCATATAAATGGGAAATCAAGGAATAGACAGAGAGAGAGAGAGATACACAGTGGAACATAATACACAATGTTAAAAAAGTAGAAGCAGAAAATAATAATATATAATATAATAATAAGGGTTCCCGGGTGTAGGGTGGGTGAGGGAGGGGATACAGGGGAGCTAATATCAAAGAGTTCAAGTGGAAAGAAAATATTTTGAAACCAATGGTAGCAGCAATTGCACAATTATGTTTGGTCTGATTGAATTATGGATTTTTTAAATATCTGTCAGACCTGCCAATAAAATTATTTAAAAAATAGAAGCAGAAACATCAAGTGAAAATAAATTGAGAATACTTACTTATATTCAAATGGTTGATGGTATTTAATGTAATGTATTCAATTCTCTTATGTCACCGGAGAAGAATTGTGTCTATGCTAGCTGTAGAAGTAACTACCTTTCTCTCTCCTCTCACAAAACTGTACAGTGCCTCACAAAGATATAGTGGATTAAGCATCTAACAAAAGTTGTTTCTCATATTTTCTCCTAATGTACAAAATAATGAAACCTTAACTATTCTACCTGCCATCTTAGCAGAATGTTTTGCTATTCATGGAAAAATATTCTTGAGAGCTTTTTCTGAACTTTCACAGAGGGACATTTTCCATGTATTTTCCCCATGAAAAGAATAAAGCTTGGTATCTTTCATGTGTTCTGCTACATGTAGCTTTATAAATGCCTCTTGAGACAAACACATATTAATGACTTTTGAGATAAAGACACTAATGAATAATGCACAGACAGCACTGGAGACCATATTTTAATTGGTTGAATATGAGAACTGCATCCCAGGAGAATGCTGAGGAAATGATCTAGCAGGGTGTCAACTTTTCAATTGAGAACATGTGAGGTCTAGCACAAATAAACCAACACCCTATGATACTTACTTTATATTTTTATTTTCATTCTTAGGACTATGAAGGAAATCATTCTATTTTTATTCATTATTAATTTGGAGTTACTATATATCTTGATACTGCATATAGGGCATAATGTAGCAAGATCATGTTTGTCGGCCTATCAACAGTTTAACAGTCTCGGTACTGCTGTCTTCCCCTTCCTCAAACACCATGTGTTTTCTGTCTCAAGTCCTCAGGTTACAAGTGTGTCTGAGTTTGAGTCCAGTTTACACAATGGAGTTTCCACATGGGATCTCACTGATGCAGCCGTGCTCCTTGAAGATCCAGGATTCAGAGTCCCAGCATTCCATGGCACTCAGTCTGGGTCCCCAGGATGCATCCAGAAGCCTAGATCAAGATGGCCTATGCTGTGCATACCACCAAAGACACTCCTCACCCCCCCCCATGGTCCCCCAAATCAGTTTCAGTCATACTTTCCCCCAGATGGAAGTTGGTCCTCCCTCTTTTCCTACCCGCAGACATGCATTTGTGCACCCACAGATGTGTTTGCTTTCTTTCCCCTCTCCTGACTTGTTTTCCCCCTCCATATTCCTCATCCTTCTGATAGGGTTGTCTACCTGCACTGGGGGGAACTCGTCATAGATTTACTTGGCTAGCCATTCAGTATACAGCATCCTCTTCCCCACCCTTGACCATTTGATCCCAACTGATTGAAGGCACCGTCCAACATAGTGACCTTCAAAATACTTACCTAGAGCAGAGGGTGTCTGGTTCATTGGCACTGGTCAGGCTCTGTACAAAGGCTTTCTGGGCCCCCTTAGAAGCAGACTGGATTCTCTACATGTCTGAGCTTGTGTCCGTTCGTTTTGCTGCTTTTTCCTACAGCAGTGGACTCATATAGTACCTGTCCTTTTGTGATGGACGAACTTCTCTCAGAATAATGTCTTCCAAATCCCCACATGTCTTGAGGTGTGTCATAGTTTGATCCCTGTTTTATAGCAATTAGTATTTCATCATGTCAATATATCAGTTGTTTTGTTGTTTTTTTTAACCAATCTTCTACTGATGAGAATTTATGCTGTTTCCAACCTCTTGCTGTTGGGAACTCTGCTGCCATGAACATGTGGGAGCATACGTCTGTCGTGATCTGCTTCTTAGTTGTTTAGAGTACATACCCAGTAATTGTATTGGTGGGTCATGATATTACAATTGCCATCTGTTTTAGGAATCACCATATCACCTTCCACAGTGGCTGAAATATTTACAAGCCCACCAGCAGTGGATAAGAGTTTATATCTCATGACACCCACTCTAGCATTTGTTCTCTGTTTGTTTGTTTTTTAAATTGGTCTACAGTTATGGGTGTTATTTAATAGCTCCTGGTTGTTTTGACTTGCATTTTCCAGATGGCTAGTAAATGGGAGCATTTCCTCATGTGTTTATTAAATCCTTTGTGAATCATCTGTTCAGGCCCTTTTCCTACCTTCTCAGATAGTTTTTAGTTTTTCTCTTGTTGTAGGCTTGTTATAGACTGAATATTTTAGTAATTAGTCCTTTGTCCCTAAGTCCTTACTAAATAACATCACAATCTGGGGGCTCTCTTTTCACTCTTTTAATGAAGTCTTGTTGTACACAAAGTGTTTTATTTTTAATAGGTCCCACTCATCTATTTTGTCTCCCACAGACTGTCCTTCTACTGTTATCTCTGATAGCCTGTGAATTCTCTGCACTAGGCACTTATATTTGTTGCAATTTTCTCATTGATGATCCTGATAGCTTTGGGTCTTACATTTAGTCTTTGATGAATCTTGAGTTTGTTTTTTATGCATGGGGTGAGATATGGATATTGTTTCATTCTTCTGCAGGTGGATATTCAGTTTTTCCAGTGTGGTTTCTTGAAGTGGGCATATGCTAACCATTTAACTTTATTGGGTCTTTGTCATAAATCAGTTGTCTGTATGCAGATGTTTTTATACCTGAGGTTTCTGTGCTGATCCATTGACCTGTGTAGCTATCATTATAGCAGTTCCAAGCTGTTTTGCCAACTGTGGCTGTATATTGGGTTTTAGGTCAGGTAGTGCAAGATCACCTACGTTGTTCATCTTTTTGAGGTGTTCATTGCCTATCCTGGGCAAAGAACTTCTTTCTCCATGAGAAGTTGATAATTAGTCTTCCCATTTCTTTAAAGAATAATACTGGAATTTGGATTGGGATTGCATTGAATCTGTAGATTGCTTTAAGTAGTATTGACATTTTCACATATTCCATATTGAGTTCCATATTCCATGAACATGGGATACACTTCCATTTGTGCTGATCCCTTTTGGTTTCTTGTAGTAATGTTCTGTAGATTTCTTTGTAAAGATTTTTTGTTTTATTGGTTAGGTTTATTTCATAAATTGCTAGGTATTTCAGCTTTTGTGTGGCAATAGTGAATGGTATGATTTCTTGATGTCCTTTTGGTATTCTGATGTAGGAATCCAATTGATTTCTGCTTGTTAATCTTGTATCCTGCTACTCTACTAAACTCATCTATTGTTTCCAAAATCCTATTGTGAACATCTTAGGATTCTCAATATATGAAATCATATAGTCTGCAAACAGTGAAATTTTCACTTCTTCTTTGCCCAACTGTACTCTCTTGATGTCCTGCCATTGTCTATGGTACTGGCTAGGACAGCACAATGGTGAATAGAAGTGGGAATAAGAAGCATCCTTGTCAGGTTCCCATATTCAGTGGAAATGTTTTCAGCTTTTCTCCATTGAGTGTAATATTGGCTATTGGATCATCATATATGGCCTTTATTTTGTTGAGGATTTTCCCTTCTAATCCTACCTTTCTGAGAGCTTTAATTAGGAATTGGTATTA